CATCTGTAAAAAGTACAGCAGACCAATCATCCAATGACAAATGGCTGTGTTCTCGAGCAAATGCGAGCCGTGCAACTCTGTATGTCCTGGTCAATTCTGGTCGTCTTAAGGGGCGAAAAGCCATTTAATCTTCTTCCAGCAGTGCGTTCAGAAATTTGGACACATCGAACTTCCTAGGGCTGATGAATCGCTTGAACAACAGTAAGGTGCCGGTTTCGCAAAATTCTCAAAGTCGAAAAATCCTGTGGTTCTGTTCCCCTTGGGCGTCCAAAACCTCCGTGTCTTCTATGGTAGGGTCCAGTTTCTCGAAAACGTCTAACGACGTCCCGCAGTTTTTCATTCAGGAAACTCCGATGGCATGGTGGCAATACCTGGTGGAACGTCCATCATCAATAAAAGCCACACTACGCCCAACACCCTCAGCACTAAGTGGCATTTTTAAGTTTAAAAATTGAAATTAAGAAAACCAACATAAAAACTAAACACTTTATTACTTCAAATTCAAATGAGACTGAATAAACTTTAAAATTCTGTAAAAATTAAACATTGAAAAATCCTTTATTCTTGTTTGGGAATAAGGATTAATTGTGTTTACGCCTAATTGATATTCCAAATTTAAAACATAGCATAAACAATTTTTTTTGCCTTATGATCTATGCATATTAACCATGGTGAATTCTTGTATGTGTTTTCGTATTTGGGGGGGGGTTATCGTGAAAAAAGGGCCAGAGGCAACGGTGGGAATCGAACCCACGACCGCAGCGTCTATGAGCCGAGAGTCTCTCACGCTAACCACTCGGCTACCTCCCCGGGCATAAACAAATATTTATTGATAAAAACTATGGGCCAAATTAAGGGCAGAATTTTCTTTTATCGAGAAAATGGAAAAAAATGAGTTGGCTGGAATTTTTTGCCTGTCAGTGTATAAGTGAGAAGTGAAGTTTTAAACTAGTACTCTAAGCAAAGATGTAAATCGTAAATATGTAAATATTGAATATGGACTTTAAAATAAAAAAATTATTATTACTATTATTGTCCATATTATACAGGTCCCTGGTCATATAAACATGAATTAGTCAGGGAATTTGCTTATTTACAGGTGTCAAACTATTGTTTTATTTTCTTGTTAGTAACTTAAGAACTCCTTCAAGTGTTATCATTTATTGTGGTGTATTTTATTTTTCTCATTCAAGATATTGATTTTTTCATAGATTTTCGTTGACGGCCTTTGGTGACTGTTTGTCACAAAATTAATAAAACTGTATGAAATATACTTTATATTATATAGAAGATCTGTTGTTATACTGGAGAACACGTGAGCAATGATGTAGTTGAGAGCCTAATCTATGGTGGGATAAAATGTTCCAAAATACCAATCTCTCGAAGTAATCTTGAAACTAATAAATATGAAAATTTTAAAATAGCCTCAGTAAAATGAAAGTAATTTTTACGAATTCGCTTAATGGCGTAAATCAGTCATAACAAAAAGACATTAATTTAATTAATTTTATATATTATATATACTTATAAGGATATACTTAATATTAAGTAGTTTGAATTAAAGGAACCGAAAGGCATGTTGGTTAATGCAGTTCGGTGGCTATCGATAATTGAATGGGTAAGTGAAGGCTGGAAAAGATGGATCCGGAGCGAGTTAAGGGGGGACCGTGAGAGAAAAAAGAGTGGGTGGGGACATAAATCCGACTATTGCTGGTGCGTAACTAATTCCTGAGCTTTTCCAGCATCCCGGAAAAAACTCGGTGAACGGAGGAAAAAGTAGATTTACAGTGAAAGCGGGGAAAGGATCGCTCTTCCACTGGAAATTAAGTTGCCGAGTAACCAGTCCAAGGGGTGTGTGTTCCCTAGCAAATCTGATTAGGAGTATGGGAAAGGGGTTCCCGGATCGTTTGTGATTGGAGGTTTGTCAACTCACAAATCGCCTCTGGTCGTCGTTTCCCTATTGGGGGACGTTCCAGGAAATCAAACTGATTAATGAAAAATTGAATGTTTTGGTGTTACCTCGTTGCTTGAATCATTAATGAGAGAAATCCTCCCTTGGGCGAGATTAACACAGATTTATTCGATCGACCGATGCCAAACTGCATCGTTAAACAAACTGATATTGAAATCGCTTTGAATGAAAATTACAAACGTGTCCTCTTCAATTTCAGTCATTTATGAGTCGTAAAGCATTGAGACTAAAGCTAAGCATCTGTAAATGAGCAACTACTTGTGATGCGTCAAGCATCTCCTTTATCTCCCGAATGTGGAATATTTTCGATTTACCTTCGTCCGCTTTTCTTAGTGATCTTTCACTCCCCGAGAATAAACTTATCTAAACTTGGCAAACTTTTTCACACTCGATCACTAACAGCACTACACATTCTTTTCTTCTCTCTCAGACAATACCTTACCTTTTTTATAACAAAACAGCGTTAAGCTTCTACATTTGTTTACCCTTTTGACAACAATAATAACGAAACACTGGGAAAGAATTTTTTTGAACATACTTAAAGTCTGCGGTTTTAACTGCAGTCCTGTGGGATGATGTACCTGTAGAATGGTCGTTTCTGATTATTTTCATCTGCCCATCTTTGCTGCACTAGTGCGTCTGTGAAAATGGCAAGACTCCGAAACGGTTTGACCAAAAAAGAAGAAAATGACCGAACTGTAGATTCATCACCACGCAGACTTGTAGCTGAAGTTTCACTATTGTGAAATGGCTTTGGGACTTCCAGATTAACTTCTAACATCGGCAAGTGCTAATTAATAAAGGATAGTCAAGCCAACATGATCGGAAACCACTAAACTTCAGAACTGCGAGAAATAATGTATCGTGATCAATGCAGTGTGGTCAATGCAACGAGTAAGATCCAAAGAGTATAATCCCACTAAATAACTCACTAAATATAATACTTCATATCTTCGAAGATCACTGATAGAATTTGTTGTTGATCTGAATTTATTTTTTCTGTTGAAATTGATTTGTTGTTTGTTTTCGTCGTGTTGTACGCTGCATCTGGCATCTTCATTGGTGAGGCCGTAATATTTATTTATAATAATTATTTTTAAAGAAAATTTAGGGATCGTGAGGTGCGGTCTCGTGTGATGTAGGTTTAGAAAAACATTTTCTTTAACGTACCAATTTCGATATTTAATGAAATCATCTTCATAGCCTGGAATTTATAAACATTGCTTAAATTATACAACTACATATAAGATATGACTATCAATTTGTACAATGATGTACACAACGTAGAAACCTTAGGCTTAATAAAAGTATTTGTACTCAGTCAAAGTGTGTCTTTTCTGTGTAGAGTCACACTTGCCTAAATCGAACAAATTGTTGGAATTTAAGGACCATCTAAAAGAAACAAAACATAATTTCAATTAAAATTTAAATACAACAGTGTTACATCATTACATAGTTTCAACAAAGGAAGAGATCTAGACTGGTTTGATAAATTTGAAATTAAAAAATGTAAAATTGAACATGGAGATAAATGCATTTATAATATAATAGATTTTGATCTACCTCCCATTTTAAATATTTACATACATAATATTAAACGCCCAAATAATTCAATTAATTAATTTAATTGTCATTAATTTTATCATAATTTACTAATCTATTATTAAGGTATTATTCTAATTTAATTTTTATCTTTTATATTTAATCACTAATTTACAATTAATTTCTTCCAGTATTTACTAATATTCACTTGTGTTATAATTACCGCTTTTCGCACGCTCAAAATTGAGCGGCATTAAAACCCAGCTTCTCATTGGAATGTCGCGTTGGCAGTGGATCAGCAGGTTCATTTTTACAATTCATGTCGAGAGACGTGGTTGTAGAACCCTTTTAACCTGATGAGCTAAAAGCTCGAAATCCGGTTCGTTGAAAAACAACTTATTGTGAGTTAGAACTATCTTTTTAAAAGGATTGAATACCGTGTCTGTTAGCTAAAACCTCTATGCACCTGTTAAGCATACTGTTAATAAGGTTGTCACTAATTTCATAAGAAACTTCACTCCATAGATGTTGCAACGCTGCACTCAGTTGTTGCAGGTCAACTGACTGCGGAAAGTAATCAGAAAGCATTCTCTGCAACGCATCCCACATGTGTTCAATGGGTTTGCGGTCTGGAGACGATGGGGAAGGGACAGATTGTAAATTCCCAGGATTATTAAACATTGATGAATAACTCTGCCTCTATGAGGTATGGCATTGTCATCGAAAATACTTGCCAATGAAGAAATGCCTGATTTGAGGGATGTTTATCTTGTAAAAGGCCTTGCCAAAAATCTTGTACTTCATTTAGGATCTGGCGGGCACTATGGATTCTGTCTTGCAGCAATGACAATATTTCTGTCCTCCCTTAAGTCGTAATGCTCTGAGATCAACTGCCAGGCCTCCTATTGGCATTTCCAGTCTAAAGGATAAAGCCCGAGAGACCACGGTCTGAGCGACGCCAACTGCCTCTGCGGTATCGACTTGCCGGTGACCTCGAAGACTCATTATCATAATAATATTACGAACTTATGATTCAAGACGATATCTTTCCATGGTTAAAGAGAATACAACTAAATTAAAATGGAGAAAAGGTGTTTGTTACAAAATGAGAAATTGCCATACTTAATATTATTAAGTAAATCTGTTATTAAAAATGAAGATTAACATTTGTTTGTTTTTGGTTTGTATTTTCGTTAATTTAATTAAAATTAATAGAATAAGAATAAATTACAAATGTCCCTATTCATTTTCGACCAGTTTACACACTCACCTTCATCATTTCTATCATATAATTAGTTTTTGGTTTCAATTAAATGAAGTTGCCTTTGCATAGTAGTCGTCGACGTTTCCCTACCAACGAATAATGCTATTTTGATTAAATCCGACATGAGGAGAATTTGAACAATGTCGCCATAATTAATTTATACCCATTAAGTTTTTATTATTGAAAAAACGTTTATTGTAAATCTCTAATGGTTCGTTCCAGGTGAAATGGTTCCGCTCGACGTTACGGCTAGAGCCGACTGAAAGGCAGAGATTGGAAGACCGAGGGAGTCGTCATTCTCTTATCTTCAACTCGGTGCAGGAAGAAGATTTTGCAAATTACACTTGCCAAGCGGACAATGCCCAAGGGAAAACACGGCAACATGTTATACTGTCAGGTAAATGACAAAAAGAAATATATAATTGAACAAAAAATGTACATGACATAAATTGATGCCCCAAAAACATATAAACATTTCATTAAAATACAAGAGATATTTTCCTTGTTGAGTAATTTTTTCCTGGTTGCAAAAAAGAGGAAAAAGGCTACCTTAAATGAAAAGGAGCGTTGTTTATTATTTGAAATATAAAATAGTATATAATTATACATGTGCAATTAAAATTACCTATCTCTCATCATTTCAGGACATTTTTTACTTCTTTCTCAAGTTTTGAATTTGTAGACATTTGAGTCACATTCAAATTATCGAAGAAAATTTCAAGGACAACGCCAGGATTTGAACCCACGGTCTTTACGTGATAAATGTGACCAGACACCAAAACTATTTCGGCCAACGCCGTCTCAAAAGAAGATAAGATTTATTGCATTGAAAAATAAACAAATTCTAATTTTAACAAATGTAATATTAACTTATTAAAAAATTATATTTTTTAACGGCGTGAAAAGTGAATACTGCTGTAAACGCTACTTGTCCAGGAAATGTCCACAGGTCGATTTCTTTTGTCTTCTCTTTTTGTGGAGAGTGCAGTTCTCCCGACTAAATTTCTTCCAGTTGATTAGTTTTTCATTCCATTGTGGAGTTGTATATGCCTTTTATCTATTGATCCGGACACCGCTGTAACTGCGGTGCTCTTTTTGTTCCAAACCCTATCGAACTGCTGGAGGTTTCCAGGGAACTCGATTACTTAAAAAGAAGACAACTCCCCCCGAATCTCTCGGCGGTGCCTCAGGGACTTTTTGGGTATCATCGACGAGTCACCAATGAGGTCCCGAATTGGAACGGTGGTGTGTTTTGGAATATGATCCCGATTCTCATTGTCACCCGGACGGTTGCCATCCCCTAATGAGGATCATCCCCTTATCCCCTTGACTGCGACAACAACGGGTATATATGCGGAGAGAGAGGGAGAGTGAGAGAGAGAGTGTGTGAGTGAAAGAGAGAGAGAAAGACGACAAGCTCTATCTCTCTTCTCTCTCTCTCTCTCTCTCGCTCTCTCTTCTCGAATTTTTAGAAATTGGTACTATGCTGCTAATCTTTTTAAAATTAAATACTAAATTTTGAAACCTTTTAATCACCATTACAGTGTATGTGCGATTTCCTTACGTACATATTCGATGAAAATGTTAATTTGGAGTTAGATTTTTCGTTCTGTTGAAATATATTCGGCACACGCTTTAGCAAAAAATGTATTTACGTTGTTATTAATAAACTAAAAGCATTGTTTATCTTCAGTAATAATATATTTAAAACTGTGGATAGGTGACCGCAGTGACCAAGATCGTTAGGGTGTTATAACGTCATCCGAAGGAGCAAGTATTTCGGAGCTTAAACACACCCAAACCTAATGCCTCTGTAGTTCCAGTATAATTAAAAATTACAATAAAAAAATGTTTTATAGCTTTTATTAAGAGACAACTTAAACAAATCCTGGCAGACTGTGAACGTTTATGTGGAAGTGAAAGAGAAAACTCATCGATGTATTACTAGTCAACTAAACTCGTCAATCTATGGGGGGATTTGGTTTATGGAAAATATGATAGAAAAAATACATATAAATTACCTGGACAGAGTATAAAACAGGATAGCTATTAACTGTACAATTTCAAGAAGCTCGTAATGCTTCGGTTCTCAAAATAACATTTATCGTAAATTAAAATAAATAACAATTCAATTAAAGCTACTATAATTGAATCAAGTTTGTTTTGATAATAAAGCATATTTGAATGGTACTAACACAACAAATGGTTCTTTTTAAAACAATGCTAGAGATATAGCATAATGTAACTTTGCATATACACATATAAAATTTTCAAATTTAATTTTGTTCTTAAGAAGAGTTCTGTGAAAACCTTGTGGTAGATAAGTTCTTTCTTAGAGAATTCTCTCGTAGGACCAAATCGAACTTCTGGAGGAAAATTGTATTAAGAACGTTCGGCCGCATCCCCTTCAGAAATATTACATTGTTTTAGAGGTCAACATTGACTTAACCCCCTCCACTTGAAGACTATGTCAACATCGTGTAACTCCGTCCATTACCAGCCAGCGACAACTCTCCAACATAAATACAACTCGTCTTCTAAATCTCCCCTTTCAACAGCCCTTTTCCTTTAAACTTAATTATAGCGTGCACTTCTTCGGAAATTAAGTAACCCTTTTTTTTCAAACCCAATATTAAATGTTTTCGTTTTGAAGCCGGGAGTCAAGTTTGACACTTAAAGGCAAGTTTTTATTAGGTGGATTTTTAAGATTAAGAAGTAGCAAGAGTATTCGCTCTATCTACAAAATCAAAATTTATTTATAGCATTATTTAACATTTTAATTAAATAGAAAACATTTTTAACCTTTATTTCGTGTAAAATGTAAGAAATTGTAAAATCTATATGATTTTTCCAATTTCTCATTTTCTAAATCTTTAAAATTAATTTATTTGAAAAACTGTTCATTTTTACATAAAATTTTGGCAGTGATATTTTAAATTTTACAAAACCATATCAGTTTCATTATCTTTTATTTTCAACTTAAACATTTTCATATTTTATTCTTCTAATAAATTTACTTCTTTTGCCCTCTTTCTACTTTTAAAATTATCATTTCTGTTGGTATAAAATGAAACAATAATAATATTTTTTTAGTTACGTTGTATAGTAAAAGCTAAATGTAAAAAAAAAATTTTTTTATATAATAGATATTTGAATTAGGCCTCCACAAGATTTAGGATATCCCAACTTTAATGTATTTTTACCGGTTTTCCACAAATTACCCCCACACTGATGGACGGGGTATGATGTCTTCAGGCAAACCCATTCCTGAAACGTATTAATTTAATTTGCTAATTATATTAATATTAATATAATATTGATTCAAGAATTTGCTAATAACGAGAGCAGGATTGAGTTTATAAAATGAGTTATAACGTTAATACAAGTTGTAATTAAAAATATATAAACATATACGAACAGATACGATAAATTAACATGAGAACAATTAGTATTGCATGCAATAAAACAAGTCAATTATGGCAATAAAATTAATAAAACTAAAAGAGGATATTAATATAACTAATAGATATACAATAAAAAGGAATAATCTGGCCGAGTGTTAGTGTCCAAGATGCTGCAGGCTGGATGGAAATGGAAAAGATGGAGCTGGGTGCTGGAATGAAGAGATGATCCACGAAGTTTGTAGATTCTTGACTCTCAGTTCCGCAGATAATAAATGGGTACGCGAAGTAACTCGTAAAGTGAGTTGGCACAGACGTACAATGCGGCTCCCAGCCTCGAAGAAGCGATGGAGAGTAGACGCCAAAAATTGGGCAGAAGGAAAGAAACGCTTCTGCAGGCGCGCACGCTCGTTCTCAACACGTCGCACCCTGCACGCTCGTTGTCAACACATCGCACTGATTCGCACTTGTCTCCCTACTCTCCGCGCCGATTTATCAAAAACTCTGTACGCAACTAAGCCTACGGCCGATCGCACCTTCGCACCTGCTTATACACTACTTAAACTACCTTCATATTATTATACATAGATTATAAATCCACTCTAGTTTTTAGCAAATTGTTAAATGAAAAATAACCGTTTAAAAATAGACGAACAATAAAATCAGATTGACCACTTCAATAGATATCCAACTTAAATAGATCTGTCTCATGTATACCACCAGAACATACTATTAACCGATTACAGTCATACTCTGGCAAATGACTTGAAAGTATTTTAAATGACTCATTAATGCAAAACCGTAATAAGGTTTATGGTGGGCCAATCCCCCCCCCGCAGGTACACAAAGAAAGGTTGCTCGAGGTGTCCCACATAGACGAAGCGTGTCGTTCCTTGGCTCCCTACAGGGCGCGAGTAGGCATGCCGCCAGATTTAAAGAGGGTTCTCGGACACAGCAGCGAGTTTCAGGGTACCCTATTCCGCTTTTTAAGGGAATTGGGAATTGTTTACTGTATATAGAAGTTAAGTTATGTGTTTTGTGTTTCTGTGTCTTGTATGAGTGTATGTATTTATTGTTGAGAATGGGGAGGGGCTGAGCGCGAAGTAGCTTCTCCATCGCCCCTCATGTTGCGTGCATGACTTGTGTCTACGGCAGCAAACTTTTAAACTACCCCATCGACCCCAAATTAGAATAGTTTATTGTAGTGAATAGGTAGATGGAGGAATATCGAGTACACCATCTACCAAACAGTAGCGATCAATGTATGTTGGTGTGAATGTATTTTTCGAGTGTGTAGCGTATTTTGTTAATGCTTCGGGGCTGAAATGACCAAGCTGGCGGATGCCCCTGTCAAAAAAATAAAGTTTATATATGTCACAAACGGAAGAACAAATAAAAAACTAATTCCTTTTAAAATAATGGTTTATTATAATTCAAAAAGAAACCAACACAAAATGATTTAAATATTCTTTTGAAATAATAATATAAAATAAAATAAACTTCTTTTTTTTACTTTAAAACCCAAAATAAATTGCGAATAACTATTTATCAAAAAATACAGAACAAAAAACTCTTAAAAGGTAAATTAAAAGGGAATGCTTACCTCACGAGACCTGGAACGTCCTTTTTTATAAAAAAAATATAGTTCCCACTAATCATCAAAAACACAGATTGGTATTTCTCAATCCTGTCCTTTCAGTCTGACCGTTAATTCAAGACTTCTGCTGTTTACATCTTATTCCTTTTCGCCCCTCCCTTTGGGCACCTTATTGGCCTGTTATAAGGAAATAATTAATATCTCCCTGTGTATTTTAAATTATATTTTTCATTAATTAATTTCTTTTTTATTTGATAATTTGTAAGGTTTCATCAAACGGGAACGTTACATATAAAATATTATTATAGTAAAGGGAAAGCGTTGTCCTGACCCGCCTGCGGATTGGTCACACACGTGCGACTCATGGGTACCTGTTGGTCGAACCAGGTACCCAACATG